TTTTTGTGCAGAATCTATTTAATTTGAATTTAGAATGGTCTGGCCGCTAATAAAAAGGCTAGGTACTCATTTTAATTTTATATTTTTTTAAATATGGTAATGTGGGGATAAAAATGCGACATAATAACAACGACAATGCAAACACTGATTATTATAATATTCAAGGATAAGCCATAATACAAGACAAGAGATAATTTCCTAAACCCTGCCAATAAACATTACGAGTGAGCATTATTGCTGAATAATTAAATAATTTATTAACAATTAAGCGATATTTTACGATCATATACAAAACTCTTAGTTCTGTCATCCTTATGACAGTTTGACAAATAATAACAATAACATACGATCATAATAACCTCAAAATTGTATTTGATTTCGGTGCGTAGGCGAGTCATAAAATTCACAGTGTAATCCGAATCTGGTCAGTTTTACGATTGTTCATTTGACTGGTACACAAAAAAGACATTTTGATTATTTTACATTTCGTTTTACGATGAGAAACAGAGTTTTATTTTGCCAACATTCCTGCCCACTGAAATCAGCTTTCACCCTGTCTTTAAATAAATAAGTGTATTTTATCCTTCCCAAAATATTAAAAATAACAGCTGAACAGTAATTGCAGCTTCAATTAATTTAAGATGTTTTCAATCTTGGCTTTCATCATTGAGATTATCCGTAAAAGGTGCCAATGGAATGGTTGCGTCTGGAAAATCGTAAAGTCGTCCGAATGAGTCGAAGAAAATGCATTTAATAACAAAAGACTTTAGACTGACTCGATTATCGTAGGTATGTAGTAAGGGACGGTGGTTTATAGGTTAACATTGTTAGTCAAAGTTAAACTTCATCTATAATGTGAAATGTGTATAAAGGCAAACTTCGTTACAAAACTGTTGTGTACCAAAAAATATGGCATCAAATTTGTAAGTACAATTTGTAAACTATTCCATTTCCTTTTGTTGTTTTCTCTAGCACATCATGCGTTATAAATAAATGTAATATGTATTATGTTGGCACTTCTTATTTAATCTATGTATCTCATGTCATAGGTCGCAGCTGTATGACTTAATTTATTAATTGGCCAAAACCCAAAAATAACAACGCACTTAGATCGAGAGTTACGAACTATAATTCTTTTTTTCACGTGAATTTATCGACAATGTTTTTCCTTAGTTTTAGCGCACCTTGTTATAAAAAAAATACTGGCTATTTTGAAAACAAAACAAAATAAACGTGCCGTTCTAATTTCAAAACTACGTTGTAACTTGTAAGTAAATATTATTGGCAACAATGTCGTTTAGAATCGTAACGAATAAAATCTAATTCGAGTTACTACCAATAAATCTATTCTAGCATTCCATTTTACTTTGTAGCTCAATATTTTTCTTTGGAACATCGTCAACTATCGACCTAAGCTCACGAATCCCACGATACCTCTACGTTCTGTCAAAAATTGGCGGCAATCCAACCTGTGTTTGTAAACTTTCGTCTTATACGATTCTATATTTATACCGTGAATTTTATGTGCGGCTTCTGATGGCCTCGACGAGAGTTTTTAGTTACAAAATACGCAGGTTGGAATCTAAGCGATGCTGATACGATCGTAACATAGATTTGTTGGTATGGTTCAAGCGCAATGGATTTAAGACCAATTTAAATAAACTGAATAGGTCTTCGGTCTTCTACTCCCACCAGAACTTGTTGGCTCCTTCCAAAAAAAAAATTACTCAGAAGTTTATCCAGTCAAAAACATCCCCAACTAAAAGATTTAAACTTAATAAATTGATTGATAAACTTGATTATTTTGGTACATTAAATTACAGATGATGTTCAAAACTAAATACCAAAAGTTACGTATTCCTAGTAGTTATTACCAAGTCTCGAGGGTATGGAAAATTTAATAGAATCAGGACTAAGTACTTTAATAGTTTGTAAGCATAACATAAAGGGCTGCCTTTATCTAATATCTATATGTTGGTAGAATAATAATCACGTTTAAGCATTGGTTTTTACCAAGAGCTACTTCGTTTTATAGTACTGCAAAGTCTATGTCAGCTGGCGATTTCGCGAACTGAGATAAGGCAGTCTAATTATCAAAATTACAACTGTTAACACGGACAAGAATTAATTATCATATCAGCCATAAAATATCCACTGCTGAACATTTCCTTAACTCCTCGAGCGTCCTTATAAGTACCCGGTGGATCATAAGAAAAAATGCACCATATTGCTTTCTCTTTTATAAAATCTATTATTAATGTTCTGTTTTTATTTTGACTTTATTTTTTATTTCTAATGTAATGTTTAATAATCCTTGTTTTCGTGTGCCAATGGCCAAATAAATGCATTTTTTTCTTTATTTCTTTCTTTCTCCAAATGTCACGTGTGCACCCGTTGGATCATAAGGAAAGCGGACGCTCGACGGGTTAACCAATAAACAGCCATTAAATAATACCTATATTATAAAGGTCAATAAAGAATGTCTTTATAAATCAGACCATATAAATGCTATCGCCCGTATTATGGCCGGTTAAAAAAACATTACAGTGAACGATCAAAAGATTTATGAGATCTCAAGACTATTGTTTGGTAAATATGGTCCTATGGGACCCTCGTGCTGTTCAATAGGATCAACTATTATTAGAATTGTTACTGCTTTGTATTGGTCACCTACAGTGATTTTTCAAAGCTCTTTCTTCTTGTAAATAGAAATAAAAATCGGTCCTAGTTACACCCCTTAGGAATTCCACCAAGTTTGTTTTATACAGAGTTGCTAAGTTCTCTAGTTCTTATTTGGAACTTATTTTACTACATAATACACCATTTTTTATCTAGAAAGCAATAGTTGGTCTTTCTGAACCAACAAAATCTATTCATTATCCACTAATAGTGAAAATAGTAACAGAATTGAATTGCTAACAGAGCTATAGTTCTATAGATAGGTATAGATTCATTAACATTCCCTCAACACGTTTCCTACAATTTAAAATCGTTTAAACATCTAGCCCATTTGTCTAGTCTCTCCATTGGGTGGTCCACCAGCCCTTAAACTCTCTCCGACCAATTAAACTAACATAAATATTTAACTATACCCAGTGAGGTAGCACTTTTAGGTCCAATAATATTATTATTATCTCGTTAACCATCAACTGGAACACACGGCTACTTATCAAGCTGTACAATACCAGTATATCAAGACCTTGCTTTGTATCATCTTTTCACGCATTCCATAGGTCACCTTATATTGAGTTTGCGTAGTTTGATGTGTGTATCCTTTAAAAGTTAAACGTCCATACATTTTTATGTTCTGTTTAATTTCTCAGTGTCGAGTGTTCCTGCTATTTATATTGATTGCCTCATTAACGTTAATTTTGTTTACGTCTGATCTTGACTAATTAATGGTCATTTTGTTGGTTGATGGAAAGCTAAATGGTTTTGTTCTTGTTTGAAATTACCATCGTTAGTAGAGCAATGGGTCTTTACTTATGAAGCCCTCGTCATTATTCCCGATGTAATTTAAATTGGTTAAACATCTGTGCACACCTTCCTTAATCGAATATCTGGTTTCAATTTCACCGAAAACTAATTAAAAACCCGAACTGAGTGTAACCGTATTAAAGCTTGACAATAGCCAATTATAATTCACGAAAACAAAAATGGGTTCCGCCTGCGACCTTCTTGAAAAAGTCTTATTTATCAACCATTATTAGAATTGGTTGGAAATCCAAATCTATCAGAAATTGGTTATTAAAAGGAGGAAATTTCCATCGTTATCTAGAATAAAAGTCTTTCTATTAATAGCCTAGTTGCCTAGTTAGTACCTTAGTGCCACTTCAAATGCTTAGTAGCCAAGCAAACTTCGAGGAGTCTCTAACAACTAAAGTATTGAGACGATCTTAGAAATAGAATAGTTTGCTTGTCTTACTCAGTAATAGTTTAAACTTCGAATAACATCTTAAAGAAGATTCCTTCTCAAAATAATTGTTCACTCAACTTCATTAACCGGAATAGTGGGCTTTTCCAATGACTGTAGCTAAATTTAAAATAATTCTAACTTCTACGAATACTGGCGAAACTAGAAAAACATAAAGAAGGAAGACGTAACTAATTAATGAAAAGATTTAATTGTCATCCAATTAGTGCAAGTATGCCACAAATAAATAAATAATATATGTTGCGCAAGATCGGCGCCTGCGTCGCCCGGCACGTTTTTGTTTACATTCGTAACTGGTTGTAGTGTTAACAAAACCTGTTTTGTGCTCTCTAGACCCGCGGAGAAGTCCTCCCAATATCCTTCTTATATTTTGCGATTTAAGCCGCCTAAAGGACCTTGAAAATTAGGTATTGGATAACATCAGAACTTTATTGGTTCGTGAAATGGGCGTGGGTATTGAGGATACAAAACACTTAAACCTCGTCGTCTATTAAATTGCTGACATGCCAAACGATCGTATCATTGCTCAGTCAATTGACTATAATAGCGTGGAGTGTTTATATTGTAGACCTTGGCCACTAACTGGCGAGCTTCTGAGCACCGAGTAATGGCTAGCGAGGCGGCGAGTTATCCACAACATCATAATATTACGCTAATTGCATAAGACATTCTCGACACGTCCCGAGCCGCCACTTTACCTGGAATCTGATTACCTATTCGGTAAAATGTTGTTTATCAGTTTCCAATGTAAATAAAGTCGGCTAGCCCTGTTTTGGGTTTGCCTAAAGGCCAAATGGAATAGATTTTATCCTTTGTATTATTTTTACCTGACAACACTGTTGTTGAGGGATTAAATAAACATCCGCTCGAAGCGTAACGCGTTCCTATCTATCTAAAAGCCGAAAGAAAATAAAAATATGGATCCATTTACAATTTAAAAATATAACAACGTGTGTTTTGTGTGCTTTGTCGTCTTTACGTTAATGTAGTTCAAAGTCGTTGGAATGTTTACACTAGGTTTTGTAATCATTTAATCAGCTAGTAAACAAACGCGATATGGACTTACCGTGTCCTGCAAATCCTTGAACTCGTTGAACAGTTTATTCTTCTCGATCTTCTGGCTGAGACTCTTGACATTAGCGGACATGGCAATCAAGTTGACAGACAGCTCGTCTACTTCATGACGCAACTGTCGAACCTGCACCTCACGAACAATCGTCAGCACCAGCAGCCATGCGACTAGTGCCCCAAACACCACGGTCAGCGTGATCAACCACGTCTGCCACCGCCTGTCTGTCTTCTGCACCATTGCACCTCTAAACTGTCTCTCAAAATCACCGCTCATCAAGTTCTTTGATATGTCGTGAGACTCCTTCATGTTCGTCTGAGTATACATCGAGGTAGCTTCAGGTATAAGTGCGTGATTCTCAGCCATCACAGCCCTGACACTGCACTCGCGAACCGTCACTCGTCACTCGATTCCTAAATGGCAAACTACACACAGTAATTAGTCTTTATCGGCCCATTATCGAGGTTCGTGGAAGTCCGGGACGAGGGCTGCCCGTGAAAGAGATAGAGTAAGTACACGTGCCGAGTACTTCGGGGGAGGGTAATACGCGTGCGCAACGAGACGGATCCGAAGCGAGTGTGGAGCGACAGCTATGTAGATAGGTGCGCGCGCGGCGGACGACTGGACGCGGCTGCAGAAACACGGCAAACGGCGCACGCGCATCATTCGGACCGATCCACCTCGAACGTTATTCATTCAGAAGTATAACTCCTCCCATTACTAATGATATCAAATAAATTCATAAATATAAATTACTAATAATTAAAAAACGATTAGGTATGAGTAAATTATTGTTATTATTGTAGTGGTTGCAGACTTTTTAGTGCCTCGTTTTTATTTTATTAATAAACTAAGCTTTTCGTTACATGAACAATAAAAAATCTTCGGGTTTTTAAAGCATATGATGAGGTGCCGGGATGATCCCGCATATCGGTACATACGATACGTGTTATAAATAATAACCTTTATTGACCGCTCGAGAAAGATAAAATTTCAACACCATTACGATGAAATGAGGTAACCCGTTTTTGGATTCCACAAACAAAACAAAAAGATTCGCGATTATATCGCACGACCGGAGGAGATATAAGACATTTTGTAATTAACATTCTAAAAATATAACGAAAACTTCAAACTTGTGACGTTTGTTCCACGATCCGTACAAGATAACAAACTTTTACGACAGCTCTAAAACAGAATTATATCAATAAAACAATCTTGCTCAAATATAATTTGTAATTACACTTTAGGAATTGCTATAATTTTAATGGATATAATTATGTGAATTCCATAAAGATGTTGATACAGTTCTAGACGAATCTATGCAAGCTAGACTTGCAGACGCATGCAGAATTCTAGTTAATTAGACTGCATTACATTAATTAGTAGTTAGAGAAGTATATGATGTTTATTCAATAAATGAATACGTCATCAGTGTAGCTCGCTACTGATAAGAGCATCAGTAAACAACAACGAACCAAAATATGAATGAACATGTAAGAAGTTATTCATTGTCTGATAAATATATCCAAATGATAAAACAGCATAGGGTAGATGCCTAATTTTTATTTTAATGACCGTCTGGTAGATTATTTTAAATTATTAGACACGTATTTTTTATTTTCCTACAGAAACTAATACTTTTGACGATATATCAAATGACGCGTGACGTCACTTCTATATACATTTTAGACGTAGTAATGACGTTTTAGCCCCCACTCCTAAACTTTGATTCGTTGTATCTAAGTATTGTTTTATTATACGACAAAATAAAAAAATACGTGTCTCATATTTTTTTATTACCTAACTTACGGACTAATTAGATTTTTAATTTTCATATCCTGTCATCATCCCAATTACATCTAAATAAAAAGTAATCTTTAATCTTAATCTTTTGTAGTGTAAAACAATTCTTTGTTCATTAATTGCATGGTATTAAAATAGAAATTTGGATTTGTATTTGTAATCCATTTAAAGGTCTAATTTACTTTCAGACACAGACCAAATAGGGTCTTGCTTTCATAAAAAGATTATTCTTCATCTAGCCAAAAATATTCTGGGGATTCCTCAAGGCAGTATTTTAGGACCAATTTTTAAATGTTTCAGTTTACCAATTATTTAATACCAGAAAGCATGTTCTATTAGGTACCCTTGAATTTATCTACACCCGAACCGCAAACTTCATTTATTTTCTAAATTATTTAATTGAATGATCAATTAGTCATACAGTTCATATAAGTCTAATTCAGCGAAAAGTTCCAAAACAATAGGAACCTAACCACAAACATCTAAGTATAAGTGAAAAGTAGGTCAATTACTAAGAACTGTGGATAATATTCAGAGCTCAAATGTGTGTTTCATGAGATTTATGGCCAAAGTCTACGAGCGAGAAATATCCTTATAATTTAATGACGTCAGGCGCAAATCATTGGCGTTTGTGACTCTTGTGACTGTAGTATGCAGTTATGTGCAATAAATAGAAATATATGACGTATATGTGGGGTAAGAACATGAATGATAATTATCATGGGTGACTTCCACAAATTTTCTGTTTATGTTAAAACAATTTGGAAGTATAAAGAAATCAAGTCTATCAAATTAATTGGTGCGAGGACAAAATCATCATTTTATAATGTGGATTCCCCAAGACCAGTATGATTGACTTTGACTTACGTATAATAATGATATTTTGTACCAAGGTGACACAGGATAAACTCATTGTCACGTTAAGTTTCCTAATGAATTTGGAAAAAACAAAAGAACGTCAAACGATAGTTCCTCTTCTGGAAAACCTCTTTATTCCACACGCAACTCTTTAAGTATTTCGTTAAAAAAATTTAAGCAAGCACTCCTTGCTGTTGAAAATCATTCTCTAAATTTGATCATACAAAAGTAGTCTCTAAACATCGGAAATAAGGTCTATAATATAGTTAGTTGACTGCACGGTTGGTGCGGTAGCTGGGCAACCGGCTGCCGTGCAACGCGTCGCGGGTTCGATTCCCGCACGGAACAACACTTTGTGTGATCCACAAATTGTTGTTTCGGGTCTGGGTGTCATTGTGTATGTGAACTTGTATGTTTGTAAACGCACCCACGACACAGGAGAAATTCCTAGTGTGGGGCAAAGTTTTTAAAAAAAAAAAAAAGTGGAGAGCGGTCATGTCGTGTCGGTTGTGCTTTATCATCATCATCGTCATCATCATCATGATATCCAAAGCTAAACATCCTCCAACGACTTCCATATTGACCAGTAAGTTTGCCTATTAATGTACGCTACGTACTTAATTAAATTATTACCGACTCAATGAAACAACAATTATTCTCTTTCTTTTTTTTGGATTAAACAATAAACCAAGACAGTCACTTAACATGACGCTATCTTTCTGCCGCTTGCGTGTTTGCGGTTTCTCACACTAAAAACATTTTAACTATGTTTTTTTCCTCGAATCGACTCACAATATGCACAAGACCACATATTGTACACAACATCATGGTCAATTACAAATGACAATAGTCACTTTTTTTTAAGGTGGGAAAAACATCGAATCACTTGTCACGCCTGGGTGAGGCGAGAGGGGGTGTCAGACTCTTACTGACTCAAAACCACCCCGTTCCTACTCCTGCCCTTCGAGCCGGACCCCCGCCAACCCGCAGCTCCGTATCGGCATAAGCCCTATTGGGCCCTATCCGTGGTAGTCGCAACGTCGGAACGCGACGCGCCGTAATGACAATAGTCACTAAGGTACCTAAATTTTAATAAATAAACACACGCCATTCATGTGCTAAGTCCTAACAATAATAAATGCAAAATCTTGTGAGGATGTAAGGATGTATGTACTGTTTGTAATTCCTCAACGCATGAGTTTCTGAACATGATGTGAATGTAATCTAGCACAGAGATAATTATGTATATAACAGCCATTTATAGCTAGATAGATAATACCTATATAGGCTACCTTTTTATCCCAAGAACTCGGGTGCAGCTGATGGCAAATGCGTGTGCTTATTTTATTTATAAAAAGCTACATGCTTAAACTATTAACCAATCAACAGCTCGATAAATTTATCCACCTCAAATTATAATAAAGATAAGATTAAACAAATACCTAACTAAAAAAGGGCAATGAAACCAATTAGTTTGATTAAATATTTAATTGGGATCTACCATTAAACTTCTATTCGTATCTGATGTATCTATTCTATCTCCCCTTAGAGCCAAAATAGCTTGATATTTAATACACATTTACTAATCAAAAGCTAGGATATAATTACAGATGACGCAAACATTCCACAGATCGGTCCATTTGATTTCTAGCACGGATGCGCGCACGCAGCGAACCCGCTTCTTATATCAATTGTGTAATAGACTCGCCCGCATACTATCCCTCTTATAATCGATATTATCTATCAATGAATATGGGAATAACTTGGCAACACTTGAGCCACGGGTTGCCAGGAGTCGCACACATAGATAAAATAGAAATTTAGCAAGTGATAAGTGCACAGGATTCCTTAACTTCACATTAAGCACGTCAATCGATAAATTGAGACTAAATCTACAAGAACGCCAATATTCTATGAATAATTTTAGCCCCTCAGCAGTGCAAAATAGTTTAGGAAAATCGAATTTTCCACATCACCATTTTATAGCGTAAACAGAAACAGCTTCGCCTCAAAACACTAAACAGTTTAGCTTTAACAAAAGCACGTTCGCCACATTGTACCTATGTAAAATACAAAAATATTATGCTCAACTCAATAACAAAGTAAAATAATCTAGATTTAGGCAAAATAGATTGCTGTTACGCTTTAAAGAAACGAAAAATCTAAATTGTAAATTTAAGAAGGTAAATTAGGAATTTCTAGAACATTAGTAGACATTTTTTTTCTTTTTATTTGCTACCAGTGCTGTAGGTGTGCGAATTCTTTTCACGTGTGCTCATAAAACCATCGAGTCTCTGACAGAATCGTGTAACAGCTATATTTTTAACGTTCTATTTTCAAATGCGCCAAAAATGAAGCGTGATGCATGACAGGAGCCACTACGATGCCAACTTTCGTTGCCGTGCTTTAATTTTTTTTTTTATAATCAAAGAATTTTTTATGCAAACCTCTTTGTTTGTTTAGAAGTTTCTTATTAATGAATGAGTACATTTTTTGTCGACATATCTATACCCGGAATTTTAATTCGATTCCAGATTTGACAATTTCAGTGTGGCAACGTTATGACAAGTACTAAATAGTGACGTTGCAAAATTATTCGATATGGAAATGCAATATTTCTGGATCGATTCTTCTCGTTTATAATAATTATAATTTTACTCTCGTGAAGGAAGTATATCAGGAAATTATATATTTCTGAACCGATAATTTAGTTTTGACGATTAATTAACGATCTGAGACGTTTCTTTTATAATTGTGTGTAAAATAAATAAAAAAATGTAATCATGAAGGAACATGACAAATAAAACAGATAAATGTATTATGGTAATAAGTTATTTTATAAATTGTCGCCGTCATCGCTATCGCTATCCTGTCACTTTCTGTAACATCTATATATATAAAAGAAAGTCGTGTTAGTTACACTATTTATAACTCAAGAACGCCTCAATCGATTTAAATGAAAATTAGCAGGGACGTAGCTT